GAAGCGCGCCGACAACAGCGCGCCGACAACAGCGCGCCGACAGAAGCACGCTGTTTGAGTTTAGTTTGAGTTTATTGGGATTTGGGATACGCTGTAACATAACCCTAAACCAAACCCTAAACCTAACCCTAAACCTAACCCTAAACCTAACCCTAAATCTTACCTTAACTTAAATCGTGCTTCTGTCGGCGCGCTTTTGTCGGCGCGCTGTTGTCGGCGCGCTTTTGACATCGCGGTTTTAGCGCCGCGGTTTTGTCAGCGCGCTTTTGACGTTCGCGCATTTGTCGGGTCACGGATTTGAATAGCATGGAAAGAATCAAAGAATAAAAAATGCTTCAAAACTGGCCAGTACTAGACCATAGTACAGTTTGTTTGATTTTGTCTTTGTGTGATTTGTGATTCCAGCAATTGCAGATTATTAGGCATGGTTTATGATTTAACCTTGTGTGTGAACTAGGATTGTGTGGTTTATTAAACAAGCTATTTTTCAGGGCGTGTGAGACCACCCAGTTACTTTCTTCAGAGCTCATAGTACATGTAATGTTCCAATGATATTCTAATAAGCTGACAAATATATATCTTAAGTGAGATGTTTCTATGCAAATCCTTTAGTCTGAATACACTAACATAAACATCATATGGGGGGGCTATCAGTTGATGAAAGAAAGCAAAGATATACTTTACCAACATCCTTAACTATCTTTTTCCACACCTAAATGTGTAGCTGACTTTAGAAGTCAATTAGTCATTTGTGTTGGCAATCGCATTTCAGGCATAATAGATAATACATGCATGTTACCTTGGACATTTTCTGAAACGATTTTATTTCAGGCACTAGAACAAGACATTGTAGGCCGCCAGAGCAGCCTAAATGCCATGAAAGAAAAAATGAAGAAATTCATGGAAACTGCGGATCCCTCAACCGCATCTTCTTTAGAAGCTAAAATGAATGAGCTTTCCAAAAGGTTTTGCGAAGCTCATAATAAACATAAGAAGAAACTAGAAGACATGGAAAAGTTGAAGACCAGAGTAGAGTTGTTTGAGTGTCTGTCTGACAAACTTCAGTCGTTCTTCGACAAGAAAACACAAACCCTCAATGAGGCTGATATTCCAGGAAAGGACGTTGCCGAAATGTTCCTCTGTGTGCAGGTAACAGTGTATTTTTCAATCTCCTGAAGTGCTGCTCTGACCTCTACTGAGTAGCACATTTGTGAAGTAACCATCCGCTCAAAAATGATAATGGGAACCGTTAAGTTCAAGGACTAAATGTTGAATCTTGGGGTTATCCAGTCAGGTATAAAGCCGTTGCTTTATTTCTTCATTTTATAGGAGACCAACACGGAATTGATGGAGCAGAAGAAAGATCTTGAAGTTTTGCAACACCTCATTGAAGAACTTTCTCCTCATGCTCTACCAGGAGACAAGTCATTAGTGTTAGAAAAAGTAAATGTCTTGTCAAAGAAATTCAGGGAAATGGAAGAGATGATACAAGAAAAGTGAGTATAGTCACTGAATTTTAGAATGGAGATGGAAGATAATGATTACATGACAACAGCAAGACTGTCAAAAGGTTCCAGATGATTAATGATGAATAGATCTACAATTATCATGGCTTTGTTCAAGAGTCTTTTTGTCAATAATTTAGAATACAACGAATGGCATGTTTAATAAATGAGAGATAGAATTATATTTAATACCGATAGGTACTTTTGTATTGCAGTAACATTGGATTGCTTTAAGTCGGATGCTAGTTGGACAGGGAGCTTAGTTTCTAATAACAGTTTGTTGGGCTTAAGTGGACATTATACATATGTGTGTGTGTGTGTGTGTGTGTGTGTGTGTGTGTGTGTGTGTGTGTGTGTAGGTGTATGTTCCAACATAACTTTGGAACGCCTCGAGCAATTTCAACCAAACTTGGTACACAGATTATTTACTCTCTTGAAGCAAATACTGTGGGTGTAAGACACCCCTTGGGGTGTGTGTTCTGTTAAGATACAGCCTGTTGTGCCTTAAAATGGCTTCTACCGTACTGCCTTAAATGGCTTTTACTGAACAGCACTGTGGAGTTGCCATGGTAATGACTCCACAGTACTCCACAAGGGGGCTCCCTCTGGTAATGGGGAAAATCCAACATTAGAAATGGCGGCGACGTTCAAGCAAGTTCTTTATAACTTCCCTTCTGTCCCCTCTACTTTGGTTTTCTGCCTTTCCTGATTGGTGACAGCTTTGGAAAGATAACAGAAGGTTCAAGCAATTGTGAATGCGTCTCTTGGGGAGAGGCTCGTACTGTGATGATCCTCTATACTCATCTTTGGATCATGCCTGGATCCCAACCTGTTTGGATAACTGCAATGCACTTGGGGTGGGGTGGGGTGGGGGGGCTGCCTGTGTAGCAATAGCAGTAGACTTATATACCGCTTCATAGGCCTTTCAGGCCTCTCTAAGCGGTTTACAGAGA